CATGTGTTAGGTCATGTTTATGACAGTGTCATGACAGTCTTATTCAACCCCCTTCAAATAAAGTGTTACCAAGACATGTTGTAATGTGGTTTCCAACCCTGACCGGTTTCAGTGGAGCAGGTGGGTGTGGCGGAGTGACCTGTGACGCCATTGCCATGCATTTGGGTCTAAATTCCAGGGAGTTGGCCCGAGCCACACTAAACTCAATGGGATCGGCCCGTATCCACCCCCCAACAGGAATCCACAATAATCTTTAGTGGTCGTGGCCTAATTTCTCTACAGCGCTCCCTAGAATATTTGAAATGATCAGCCTCAAGATATACTTTAAACCAGAATTATGAAACTTGGTACACGTGTGTCTTGTCAGGACGTATAAAAACGTCTCTTGGAGCCATGGTCCAAGCCCTACAGGAAGTCAGCCTGGATCAAAGTTCCCATCTTCTCTTTTTTATAGACGTCGTATCTGATCGAACTCGTCCTACAGCTTTTGAGATAGACTTCAGAATCCCTCAGCACAGTCTTGAGGCATTGAAGGTCAAAAGTTATCAAATGATTTTTCGTACATCAAAGCACGTGGGCGTGGATTAGTGCCAAAATCTGACTATTCACAAAGAATTATCAAGGTGGAATAACGTCCATATACAAGGTCACAGCTGAATGACACTTTCTATGTCTCACTACAGACCAGCCCTCATCACATTTACATGGTCAATAGATGACATAACCTTAGCCCTGCCCACTTCCAATAAGAAGTCACCTGTTTTTTTCTGCTGGGTGTCTTACTTTTACTCTTTGATTCACATAGTTTTAAACCTGTGCCAAGTTATACAAATGACATGATGATGAAGTCTGTCAACGCTGAATGCTGGCTGAACCATGTGGGTGTGGCTGAATGGCGAGTTTCAATCCCTTGCCGTATGCATATAGTTCTCTAAATCATACACGCATCATCCGATTTGCACCAAACTTTTGTGAACCTCCAATAGCATTAAATTGTAATTTGACTCCTCTGCACTCCAAGGCTATTCCATCAGCTATATGTCCTCACTACATCAGCCGATCTGCACCAGATTTTTGGTACATCATCAGGGAGCACTGCTGAACACATCAGTGTGTATCGCCTATAGGATGGGCTGAGCGAGAGCGTTGATGGTGGTGAGCGAGTGGCTTTGCTTTAACCCCGCAGTCGCCATGAGGCTGGAGCAGCGCTGGGCTGTGAGGGCCATTTGAGGCTGTTTGAAGCTTTAATTATTATTATTAATATTTTAATTTGGTCAACATAATGTACTCTATATTGATTAGCAACGATTGTAGTGACGGTGGTAAGAGTTTGTCGGTGGGTTGCTGGTTTGATTCCTGCTCTGTCTGCCTCTGTCATTGTGTCCTTGGGCAAGACACTTCACCCACCTGCTGGTGGTCAGAACAGGGTCTGGTGGTGCCAGGTCTTTGCAGCCTCACTTCTGTCAGTGTGCCCCAGGTCAGTTGTGGCTACTATCCAGTAGCTTGACACTATCAACTGTTTGAATGTATGGGTGAATGACTGAATGTAGTGTGAATTGCTTTGGAATCCTATAGACTAGACAAATATACTCCATTTACCAGTTAATAAATCCCTAGTTTCAGTATACATTAGTTGATATTAGAGTGGTACAGAAAATTCCTTTAACAAATAATCTCTCTGGTTTTGGATACTGCAGTTGGAAAGATTTTACCAGTGCACATAACCATGGCCACAAGGTGTTTATTATAGCTGACTGGCATCTCAAAAAGCGTAAATAGTATTTGAAATAAAGTAAAATTTTAATTCCATTTAATTTCTAATGAAAACCATGTACATTTCGGTACCAGTTGGATTGGTAACATTGAGCTGTATACCACCTGCAATTCATTTTCTGGAGATATCTTAAAAACTGTTTCGGCTTTAGTTTGACCTTTTATGTGCAATATCTCTGACCGCCTCATCTGTGTATGTTTTTGTCTGATCCTTTTCATTGAATGACAACACTTTGTGTTGTTACTCAGATCCGTAATGGAAGTACAGCAGACTCACAGTTGATTGGTAAGTTCTGTGGTCAAACGCTACCCAACCCCATCTTCCCACAATCCAACCAGCTGTACCTACGCTTCAAGAGTGACTTCTCTACTGCCCGAGATGGATTTGATGCCACATGGACCTCTTCTCCACATGGTCAGGACTCAATTTACAGAAACTAATTTGTTGTTATGTTCAGTGAAAGATTTCAACCCCCAACTCTCTTAATTTGTCATACTTGGTGTTGATCATTGTACGATGGAGGCTTTGTCACTTCCATATTTTATTCATAAATGATGGTGAACATATAGTGGCTTTACTGAATATACAATCATAGATTATTTTTTAGCTGGCATTTTTGTTCTTCAATAAAATAAATTCTTGTTTCTCATTTTTAGCTATAATTGCACTTTATTACACAGATTGGAAACCATGGTGATCAAACAGTTCCCTGCAGTATTAAATTGAGGCTTTCTCTTATTTCTTGTAGGGTGTGGTGGCATCCTTTATGGAGACCATGGTTCATTCTCAAGCCCCAACTACCCAGGAAGTTACCCAAACAATACTTATTGTGAATGGAGCATCAAGGCACCTAGAGGTCATGTGGTGACCATCACCTTTGCCCAGTTCAGTATTGATGACCCAGGAAACTGTCAAAGCAACTTCTTGAAGTTATATGATGGCCCAGATACCTCCTCGGCTCCTGTTGGACCTTACTGTGGAGTGGTATGTCGCTCATGAGACCATATAAATAAAGTAATTAGAAATTTCTTAAACAACTAAGGTATATGGTATGAGCCTACATTGGGTCAAATAGTCCTCGGTAGCAAGAGTTTTTGAAAATACGCACATTATTAACCCAAATAAAACATGCATGTGATTATGACTAAAACAGGATAGGTGAGCATCTAATAATTTAAGGACAAATTGGCCTATGATTTAGGACGTTGTGTATCCACCTCTTGCCCTGGAAATAGGCACCACCTGTCCACTTTGCTGACTTTTAAACAGGCACCTTTAGGCAGCGCAGAGCTGCTGCCACTGTGTTGACATGTGCAGTCCTGTTTGTCAAAGTCATCCCAGAGGACAGTGGTAATTACTCTGTGTGCTAACTTGTGCAACATACGTCACAAGTTTAAAAAGGTTAAATTTGATCTTCAGATCAAATTTAACTTTTATAAATTTAAACTGGTATAAATTTATTAATAAATAAATGTAATTATATATATATATATATAATTGTCTGTCTAGTAAATATTAATCCTATCCCACATCCTTGTCTCCTTTCTGTGTTTGTTTTAGGAAACCAACATTGCTCCTTTCAGCGCCTCCTCCAACCACGTTTATATTGTTTTCCAAGGCCAGTTCTCCACCTTACCATCAGGCTTTAGACTCACTTGGAGCAGCTGAAAAACAAATATTGTTTTGATGTTGTGACATGCATACAATAGACATATTAATCATATTGAAAACACTCGAGCATTAAACACTTGGTGAAAACATATTTCAGTGTAATGAACCATATTATTAAAATTATTGTATTGTTCTTTAAGCTGGACTTTTATGAATGTATTATGGTCAAACATTGATTACTTTAATCAATGTTTACTTCTGTAAGTCAATGTTTACAGAAGTAAACATTGATTTTTATTTGTGGGGTTGAAATCAAATTCACACTAGATGCTTGCAAAGCTTGACATTTCCTCTTGGTGTACTGGAATCGATTGAACTCGGATTATTAGAAATGGTTTTACAGGACAGGGTTATCAGGAAATGATGTCATATTCCAGCTCAGACTCAAGAGTATGATAACAGGAACATTTTGAAGCCAACTGAATAAATATAACCTTTAATCTACGTTTCGACTATTACTTTCAGTTTCTACATGAAATGGTAAAATGCCTTATTACCATGACTTTATCTGTATTTACCTCAAAGTCGGATACAAAATTGAGAATTGATCATAAAATTTGGAGTAAGTGCCTGTAAGAGAGAGATTGCACAATATGAACGTTCATGAGAGGTCTGAAAGTGAAAATTGTATTTGTGAATTTGAAAGAACCAAAAGCTGCCTTGGAAAATTTGAAACTTATGACCCAAAGTAAACTGGTAAATCCACCAAGAACTGACTGAGAAATTTAAGAGGAAATGAAGTCCTGCTCTTTTCAGATGTTGGTGGGTGACTTGACATGGGTATACATGTAAGAAACTCTTCAAATATCTCAGAGAGAGAGTTCTGTGCTGAGGAGTAGGGCAACTTTTCCTCAGATTCACATCACAAACTGGTAATGACCAAAACTGAAACTAGCTGTTTAAGTTGTCATTTTCAGGCTGATGTTGACATGTGAACAGTGTTTTAACCTTAGTAACATGTGCCTTATGAAATCTTGACACAGCCCTGATTAATAAGACTTTAAAAACAAATTTGACAAATATGAGGTGGTTTTATCATAGTTTTATTTAATTACTAAATTGAACCAAACCAAATCTAAATTGATCCCTTGCAACAAGGCTTGAATATGAAGAGTAAATTGTCAAAAAGAAGTCAACTTTCTTGATAATGCAGTTGTTGAGGTTCATAGACAAAAAAATTATGAGATTTTTTTCATCTTTTAGAATATTGTTCTAAATGTATTGCAAAGTACATATAATGCCTGTTTAATCCCCCCAAAGGGCTGTTCTTTCAAATTTCTCGACCCCCACCCTTCCCTTAACATTTGATCCATTCCGGTTCCCACCTTCTCAACCTGCCCGTACAGATTGCTTCCTCAGCCGTGTGAGTTATCAACATTGGTATGCTGTGACACATACATCGCCCCTCCATACCAGTTACTGAGCCAGGTCTACTATCAAGTGCTGCAGTATGACCTTTGGAAAAAGATCACGGTAACAAAAGATCACCAACATTTAAATAATCTTAGATTCACATGTTTGACTAAGGATGCCAGAAACCAGTGATCTCTCCAGAGTCGCACCTCTTTCCATGCTAAAATGTTTGGAGTTTTTTGCTTGTTTTTTGCTCATGTAAATTATATAAAAATACATTTCTCAGTTCTTCACAGCATTCACAATTTCTAATTACTAATATTTAATGTTTATTTTTAACAACCATAAACACATGTGGATGTCTAAACAATAATTCAGGTTTCTTTGTGTTGTGATTGTTGTTGTCTTTGGTAATTATAGATGTTCAGTCAATAGACTGTGCAGTTTGCAGTGGAGCGCTGAGTACACAGGAACTCACTGGTGACCTCCTTGTACCCTCTGGATTGAGTAAGATGACTTCCTGATGACAAAATGACAAAGGATATCATGGACATTTATACATAGAAGAAAATACATATAAATATACATACAAAAGCTGAAGCTAGGTAATGAAACAACTTTTTTAAATTTAGACTAACATCTCTGAAAAACTACCATTTGGGAGTTATATCATTAGTCAGTATGATATATAAATTTGTGTCTGTGAAACCTGGCACTCCAGCAGGCTTTGGACAACAATCATATCAAATTCTATGTTTCTTTTCTTTTCTTTTCTATCTAATGATAGAAGACCTAAATTTGTTTTTTAAAGAATATTATTTGTGTCACTTAAACACTATCTTCCCCCCTTGTATATGTAAATACACACATAGTGTACATGCATATACAAACATGTCTTCATGAAAAAAGCTCCAAGCAACATAGAAAGTTTAAAGTCCTCCTTGATCAGTGTGTCTGTTTTTGTGTCTACTCTGTCTTCTGAGAGTCCCAGTTTGTTGGAGCTCATACTGGTCACACTTTCTGTTGAAAGTTTCCCAAATCTAATAGGAATTTCTTCGTTCTGACGCCTCATGCATGCTAAGTTACTGACTCCACATAATTAACTGCCTACTGTTGCAAAGATAATCACTCAATGCAACTATAAGATAGAAAACTTTTTACATGTCAAGTGGAGCTGTAGGAACAACATAAATTATGTTCAGTTTTGGTTGAAACAATAATTGCACCTTGAATATGTTTTAGAGGTTTAAGGATAAAAATGATCTCAAGACTACATAATTAGACACCATAGATTCCATCATATTATTTATGTCTTGAGATGAATGTTTCAGCTGATAACTGATGTTACATGAATATTTCTGAGATGGACTGACCTGAATATGGGCCAAGTTTTTGTCATGGACATCATAGCCAGGACAATTGCTGTCTGACAAAATTAGGCTCCTATATAAATCATTAACTGGAAATTGTGAATTTTTACTAGAATAATTGGTAACACTTTATTTGAAGGGGGTGAATAAGACTGTCATGACACTGTCATAAACATGAATAAGCCTTCATGAATATTTATGACTGTCATAAAGTGTCATTCGGTAAATTATGACACTTTTAATACAAAGTTGACATTATTCAAAATGCCGTTATGACAACTTGACATTAACCAAGAAATCATTACTGTTTAAACTTTACCTTTAATAACATAAAGTTACCTCATTTTTAAAGTGCAATCAGTAATACTTTTATAAAAAATTATATCAGTAATGATTTCTTGGTTAATGTCAAGTTGTCAAACCAAAGGCATTTTGAATAATGTCAACTTTGTATTAAAAGTGTCATAATTTACTGAATGACTCTTTATGACAACAGTCATAAATATTCATGAAGGCTTATTCATGTTCATGACAGGTTTTTATGACAGTGTCATGTCAGTCTTATTCACCCCCCTTCAAATAAAGTGTTACCGAATAATTCAGTGGATTTTACCTGCATTTTGCTATTCAATCTTACCTTCTATAAGATTATAAAGGTTGCAGTAGTTGGTGCCATGGTCCTTAATAGCATACCAGGTCTCAGAGATGGACATCGCCTAGACATACACAGAGTTACAAACTTACAATTTATAACACTTTTTTAGTCAAATCAGTCACTCGGGGAGCTTTACACAGGAGTCACTTTCACTCACACATATACCCAGCAATTTCTCCAACTTACAGATCGTTAGGCAACTTAGGATTGAGTGCCTTGCCCAGAAGCACACCAATAGTAAAATGAGGAAGCTGGAATTAATCCCACAATCTTTATACTGTAAAAGAGAACATCAAGAAGGCCTTCAGAGCAACTCTCCACCTCTATCTCGGCATTTCGGAGCATCTCTTTGTTATGCTCATTCTAGTATACCGTCCTCTGCCTATATGCTGGGATGAGTATGAAAAGAAAAGCAGGCACTGAAGAAGGTGAGAGTGTTGCCTGTTTGCACAGGACTGTTTTGAGTGCATGTTCAGAGAGGATGCTGCACACAACCAACACACAGGTGTGGGGTAGTATGTAGAATCTGTCAGACTACATCCACTGGTGTATTTCAGAGATTACAGAAACAAAGACCTTAGTCACACAGGGTAACCAGGAACCTTGGATGACTAAGGAGGTGCATACCAAAATGCTGCTTTCAAATCTTGTGATGCAACCACACTTAAAGAGCAAGGGCCAATCTAAACTGTGCCATCAGAGCAGCAAAATTGCCTACGGTCAGAAGACACAAGGCTTCTTTCATAGCGTCTTTTATGGTGTAGAGTGAACAACTTGATCCTGAAGGACAAAGGAGATCATTGTCAACTTCAGGAGGTCTCAACCCAGCCACATGCTACTCCTCATCAATGACAGAGCAGTGGAGATCGTCAGCAGCATTAAGTTCCTGGAGATGCACATTACAGAAAACCTTGGCTGGTAAACTCGTATCACTTCATATCACACCTTCCCTGGTGAAGAGGCGTAGCAACACCTGCACTTTCAGTGACCCCTCACCCTTCCCATCCTCTCCAACTTCTCAGACAAACCATTGGAAGCCTGCTGACCAGAAGTATCTCAATCTGGACTGGGAGCTGCAAGGCCTCAGACTGGAAGTCTGTGCGAAGAGCTATGAGGACAGCAGAGAGGATGATGGGACTGCACTCCTCTTTTCCAATCCAGAACATTGTACACAGATGCTGCTTAGCCAGAGCAAACCAGATCCTCTCCAGTTCCACCCATCCTATCCATGGTCTGTTCATCCGGTTGGCGACTGGCAGAGGATTCTGTAGCATTCACAGTAGAACAGCCAGACTCAGAAATACATTATATTGCCAAAAGTATTTGCTCATCCATCCAAATGATCAGAATCAGGTGTTCCAATCACTTTCATGGCCACAGGTGTATAACATTAAGCACCTAGATATGCAGACTGTCTTTCCAAACATCTGTGAAAGAATGGCTCGCTCTCAGGATCTCAGTGAATTCCAGCTTGGAACTGTGATAGGATGCCACCTGTGCAACAAATCCAGTCATGAAATTTCCTCACTCCTACATATTCCACAGTCGACCTTCAGCTGTGTTATAAGAACATGGAAGTGTTTGGGAACGACAGCAACTCAGCCAAAAAGTGGTAGGCCACGTAAACTGACGGAGCGGGGCCAGCGGATGCTGAAACGCACAGTGTGAAGAGGTCACCAACTTTCTGTAGTCAATCACTACAGACCTTTAAACATCATGTGGCCTTCAGATTAGCTCAAGAACAGCAGACAAAGAGCTTCATGGAATGGGTTTCCATGGTGGAGCATCTAAGGCATATACAGCCCTCTTGTCCTGCGGGGACACACCCGACGGGATTTACTCTGGATTGATTCATGATAACAGGATTTCTGCTGTTTGGAGTTTGCAGATTCCTGGCTTATCGACAAATTTGTGACGGACTTGGCCGAACTGGCGAACATTTGGACTGTTGGTGTGGACAGAGACGAGGACTCTAAAACTCACTAACGAGATGGAATTGATCTTGGAGAAGTTGCTAGTTTCGATTCAGTGGAACGACCAAATTAATTTGTATTGGAGAGACTTTAG